GATGGCTGCAGATGTTCCTGGTGCAGATCTGTCCCTGAGGACGCGTCAGGGCCCAGATGGGACAAACATCCCACATCCCGGTGGCTTTACGGACACCTGGGACTCTGGAAGCCCCGAACATCTCTTCCACTTTACGGAAAGTCATTGCAAGAAGTGAGCCAGTTTCAGGGTATGAAATGGCAGCGCACATGGCATCGAGTTGTTTTCATCTCCTTCACCAACCTGCTCCTACAGGCAGATTTTCTTACCCTCAAATTTGCTAAAAAAAAAGAAAAAAAGAAAAAAGAAACAACAACAACAACAAAAACAGGTTGAGGTTTTGTATTTCAGGTGTATGGGGTGAATTTTTTTTCTTCATGCAGGCAGGGCAGCTGAGGCTTTGCTGGGCATTGGCTGCGCCGTGTTTGAGCCACTTGATTTGGAGAGTGGAATATTTGGGAATATTTTGAAATGTAATATTTGGAAGAGGATATTGCATGGGCTGAGACTGCAGGCACTTCTCTATGTGAGTCTGTACAGGGCTGATCTGCCCTGGGGTGTGTTTTTTTGGGTGAGAATCCCCTTTTCCGCCCTTGTTACCTGCCCATGGGCAGAGCAGGTGCTGCACTCATTGCAAGCTACGTCCTGCAGGGTGGGCACAAGGAGTTCAAGATGGAACAAGCACCGAGGGCTATTAAGGGACATTTTCCAGCTTCAGGCATCTCTGACCGTGCCTGTTCCCTCCTGGTGCACCAAAGACCAGACTGAGGGATCCTTGGGATCCAGCAAAGCCCTCGCGTTCTCCATCCATGCACCACAATGTTCGCACAACTTTATCACCATGGGCTCCCTTGTGTTGGGTGAGCTGGGGAGCAGGACAGGGCTGGGGATGACGTGAAGCCATGAGCGATGCTCCTGAGGTCAAGTGCGGGCAGAGGGGGTCCCAGGGGAGCCGGGCAGCCAGGTCCAAGCGTGGCCCCACCACGTGCATCTTCTCCAGGAGCAGCCAGCCAATGTTCCCACAGCGTGTGTCACGGTTCCCTGAATAACCAAGGCGTTCGTACAAACAAAACAAAGAAACCCTCCGTCTCTCCGGAGACAAGTCACAAACAGAAAGCCAGGCCAAGCTCATTGATAGAGCTGTGCGCGGTGAATCACTCAACCAGCTGTAGCTGAAGCAATTTGGGTCAACTATGCACCCTGGCACAACTCCACTGGCTTATCTTGCCTTTCACTTGTTGTACCTCAGCTGAGAGCTGTGCGGGGCTGTCCGCTAACTGGCGAGTCCTTGGTGCTGAGGGTGGGTACCTGCATGTGCAGATTTACCTGAGGAATACGCTCTGATTTTTTTCTGCCTACCTATGGTGATGGCACTTTTATTCCTGGCTCGTTTTTCCTGCAGCCACACACAGAGGACAGCAAGAGCTGTGTGAGCAAGGAATTGCACTGAGCTGCTCACGTCCCCGTGGGTGCAGGGTGCACTCAGAGCCTCACAGGTGTCCAAACAGGTCTGTAACATGCCCCGTGGTGCAGCACCGGGGTGCCAGGCATTGACCCACCTCTGTGAGCCAGCACGGGGCTGCAGCGAGGTCTCGGCGCAGCTCCCGATCAGCGAGCGTGGGCCCAGGGGACCTTTCTCCAAGATTACATCAGTAGCATGAGGATGCTGAGTGTACTGTCTGGGAATCTAGAAGACGAGGGTTTTTTTTCTTCAAGATTATGTATATGATAAAATATGTTCTTCTGACTCTCTTTTTTGGGCCGCCTGCAAGCAGGGATGTGCTGCAATAGCGGCGCTGCCTGCTTGCCCCACACCTGGGGCAGTTTTGTTTGCTGAGATGGGGCAGGACAGGGCTCAGGGCTCGGTTCCCCTTCTCCAAGCTCGTGCCCAGTTTGGTACTGGTGGCAGAGTGGCTGGAACTGGTGTGGCTGGGCAGGAGGGGTGTGCACAGCACTGGGTTCTCAGGCAGGGGCTGGGCGCAATGGAGATGTTTGGCAGCTCTGGGTTTGGGTACCACCATCAGGGTGCTCCGAGCAGGGAGCAGCTCATGAGGGCAGCTTTATTGGTGCTGTCCTTGGAGCTGCTAGCTGTCTGCGTGAGGATTTCGGTAGATGAAGCGGGCAGCGTTGTGTGGCAATAGAACCTGGTGTTTCCAGCCTCCTAGTAGGGGATATTACCCCAAAAGAGGGGGCGAGGTGGGAGAAGGATCCAAGGAGGTGCAGCTGGGAGCCTGCCCGAGATATGGTGCACACAGAGCTCAGCCCAGCTCTACACGGGGTCCTGGTGCAATGCGGGACCAGAATTGGGGGGATGAGGGCAGCCCGGGGGCTCTCTGTGCGGGGACGAGCTGCTCTGCACAAGTGTTTGCTGGCAGCAGGGGGGGAGGCAACAAGGATCCAGTTCCTCAATTTGAGGCTAGCTGGAAAATGAAGGTCTGCCCCCAGGCAGCTGGGGATTAGCTGGGGGGAACTGCAGAAGGGGGCAAAACGCGGGGCTTCCTTCGGCCAGGATGACAGGAGCATAGTTGAGCATCAGCCAAGGCCTCTCGCAGCCCTGCGCCCCGCAGACAGACTCCACCTCCCGCAACAAGCACCTCGCGCCGGCTTGGCAGCGCCGCTGCTTCTGGCAGCCCCCTCCCGAACAGCCTCAAAACGTGTCTGACAGATCCAGGGTGAGCTCTGGTCCCAAAAAGGGACGAGAGGAGGGGGCCGGCAGGACCCACGTCAGCTCTGCTGCCCGCGTTGTGCCCTTCCCGTGGGTGCAGCTTGGCCAGGAACAGGTGGGAGATGGGGATGGGGCTGAGCATCGCCCTCAGTGCTGTGTTGGAGAGCCAGGTTGTGCACTTCAAGCCCTTCTGGATGGAGAAGGGAGGTCAGGGCATGTCCTTGTCCCAACTGGTAGCCCAGCGGGTTGCCCTGGTGCCCACTGAGCCTGCCCAGGGCTCCTGGCTGGCAGGAGGGATGCTCGGAGGGACAGCGCTGGCTTGCCAAGCCCTGGTGTGCTGGGGATCAAAGCATCTTTAAAAAATCAAAATAAATTGCTCCCTTTCAACGTTTCAGCAGGGAACTGAAATTTTAGCGCTGGGGAAAAATGGAAGAAAAATTTGTCAGTGGGGATGTTGGTGAGTCGCTCAGCTCCTCTGTCCTCCCCCAGCACAGAGCAAGAGGGGATTGCTCCACAACTGCAGTTTTCACCCAAAGAAATTAAAACAAACAAACAAAAAGGGAGAAGAAAGAAAGAACACTTGGCCGTGTTTTTCATGGATCCCTTCCCCCTCCTTTTTTGATCGTCTCTGTCTTGTCCAAGCCTGGTAGAGGCCGACAAGTGAGGATCTCACCCGTCCTTTCAAAGTAGCGGGGAGGAAGAAAGCAGCCTTTGTGAAGGGCTTTCTGAACTTCTCTGTTCTGGGAAGGTTGGAAATAGCACAAAAACATCCTTTCTCACTATATTGTGTCGCTTCCAGCTCTAAGCTCCACCATGACCCAGATGTTTAGATGCTGATGCTGAAAAGGAAAAATAAGAGCTACGAGAGAAAGCCAAGAGAGGGGGGACGCTGTGTGAAATTCGCTTCTAGAAACCTGCTCTGGGATGGGTAGGATGCTTTCTTTTAGGATCAGGGAAAAAGAATTAGTGAAGGAGATTGAGACGTTGTGAATCAGGCTGAACTCAGTGGGTACCGCGGTGGCTGTTAGGCCAACTGCACACCTCCTTCCATGCAGCTGTGTAGGGTGCTGTAGGACACTGCACTAGCCAGCTTTGAATGTGTTCAGGATTTGTTTCTATCAGGAATTTTTGCTGCTTTTTGATCCGATTCTCCTCTTTTCACCCCTCTGTTTTGAAGTACCATTTTCCTTGGTGTGAGTGCATCATTTTGCTTTTAAAGTTACCTTTATTCAGGAGGAGGGAGCTGTTTAGGTGGATGTAGGAAATAGCTGGTACTGCATACTTGGTTGGACAAGGAAAGTTAAGTGTGAAACTCTTCTGTATTGTCTCTTTCCTCTCTCTAGGGCAGCGAACCCTGTGTTGGGGTGGCAGTAGGAGCAGGAGATGGGCACCGTGCTCACCCACAGGCCAGGCATGTGCCAGGTGGGTGTCCCTGTGTCCCCCACAAGTGCCATCCCTGGGTCTGTCCCCAGGGTGTGAGTGATGCTTGTTGCTTTGGGGTGATGCCTTGTGGCTCTGTGACTGCTGGGAAAATCCCATGCTTTGCTCCTGTGCAGGCTGCTGGGGGCAAGGGGGTGGATGCAGCAGGGAGGGCGACGTGGTCAGCACCCAACGTGGGCTGTGTGGGGACAGGGAGGATCCGTGGACATGAAGGTGACCCCAATTTTCTCCAGTGATGTGCCCTGCCTTATGCTGCGCTTCTGCCCATCCCTAAGCTTGCTCGGATGTGCTCCTGCTCACGGCGGGTCCCTGCAGTCACAGTGTCCCCACGCACCCCCCTCACCATTCCCCAACCCTTGCTGGACAGAAGAGCGGTCAGAGACCCGGCTCCCGCCCTCCCTTTCCCCCAGTCGTGCTTAATTCAATTTGCTGCTCCCCAAACGGCTTCCCATAGTTTGACCATTAACAAATGGACTTGGCCAGAGGCCCCGGGGACCATTTGCATGATAAACCTTCTGCTGCGGCGCGCGCGCCAGCCCCGGGCACCAGCGAGCCACGAGGGCCCTGCCAGCAGCCCCGCGGTCGGCACGCCAAGGAGAGGTGCCAAATCTCAGCCAACCCGTGCCAATTCGGAGAGAAAGGGGCGAGGGAGCTGCACACAAAGAGCGGTTTATAGCCCGGCCGGGCACCTGACACTGGGAGGAGGGAGGGCTGGGACGTGCTTAGCCCTGATAATCCCCGGGTTGAGTTTAATATATATATATATATACACTTTTTTTTTTTTTTAATCAAAAGCACAGCAACAGCTGGGGCTGAGGCTTTCCAGGAGATGAACTCATGAACAACTGTTCAAAATAACTTTATTCGTACTGCTATTAGATCAGTCCACTGGGGAGCAACCAATTATTTTTGATTACTCGAGGCAGATAAGGCTGGGGTAGAGCCGAGAACCACGCGCTGCGAGGGAGAGGGGCTGGAGGGAGGCACCTCCTGGCTCATGCACGCTGGCTGCGATCTCCCTGGCAGGGTGAGGGCCCCCAGCCCCTGTGGGAGCCCCCAGCCCCTGTGGGAGCCCCCAGCACATTGGGTTTGAGGGTTTTGCACAAGGCTTTGCAGGTGTGCGTGGTGTGGGCATGAAGGAGGCACAGGTGTGCTGCAGGCAGGCAGGTGGGGTTGTTTGCAGGCAGGTGTGTGTTGTTTCCACCTAAAAACCAATTAACGGTAATGCTGCTGAGCTCATTAGCCTACCTGTGGCTGGCCCATCCACTTTGTTTGCTAGCCCCCAGCATGGAGTCAGCCCAGTGGAGCACAGGGGTTGAGCAGGGCAGGTCCTGTCCCAGCAGCTGAAACAAGCTGTGCCTGGTCTTGGTGCAGCAGTGCCAGCAGGAGTCAGCATGGGCAAGGAAATGAGATGCTTCCAAATAATTTACCACCCTCTGCTTGCACAAAATCCATTTGCACGGTGGGTGAGGAGCAGAAAAGGGGGGTTGGGGTCCCTTTGTGCTGCTCCGAGGCACAGAGCTGGGCTGCTCGGGGCGCAGGACCTGTGCAAGCTCCGCACTGCCCCAGGGTTGGATTGGGTTGGATTTTTCCATCTCTTCCCTTACTGGGCTGGGCTGAGCATTGCCCATCACCCAGTGGGCACCAGTATGGGGTGGCTGGGCCGGTGGCATCCTGCTGTCCCTGCCCCAAACCTTTGACTTTCCAGATTTTGCTGTGCTTGGTCGCTCGCCCTGCCTTCATCCCTCGGGTGCTCGGGGTTAAAGTGCGTTCAGTCAGCTGAGGCCAGCACCGGCCATTTCTGCTTTCCAGCATGACATCAAGCAAACCTGAGTGTGCGAGCAGCTAGCCAGCAGAACGGTCTCCCAGGGGAAGGAAAGGTGGAAGCTGAGATGCTGAAAACTGGGCTGCAGGGAACAGCCTGCACTGGCCAGGAGACAGACTGCATGATCTAATAGGTCTTTTCCATTTCTCGCTCCTGTGATTCAAGAAGTCCTGTCACTGGGGATTTTTTTAAAAATAGACTGGATGAAACACAAGACGGTGGATGGACAGATCGGTCCTGCCTTGGCCGGGGGACAGGTTGGTCTAACAGGACTTTTCCATCGCTCTGTTCCATGATTAGTCAAGACAAGAGGAGAAAAAGGAAACTGATAAACTCTGGATGGAATTACTGTTGTGTTTGCCTTAGTCAGGTTATTATAATCCTGACATCATGTCTTGAAAAGAAGACTGGAAATAAATCTCTAGCAGATAGGATCTGCTTGCGGGGGATGAGGGGTGCGCGGGGCTGCAGGGAGGCAGGAATCAACCCTTGCCGGGTCCCCCTGCCCAAAAAACCTCCTCTGGGCTCCCAGCCCTGCAGAGGGAGCAGGTGGCTTCCAGGAGAGACCGCGCTCCTTCTTCTGCCTGTGCTTTCCTGCCAGAAGCACTCCGCCTTGCAGGAAACAGCAACAAAACAAAAAAAAAAAAAGCATTTTCTGAAGGATGTTTCAAGGTGGTGTCTTTCCTGTGAGGTCTTGCTGGTTCCTGGAAGACCTGGCTGCTCTGTGGGGGTGGCACAGGTGCCTTCGGGGTGTAAATCAGGGTTTTTGGTCCCTCTGCTGCTATGGGTGGGTGCAAGTCCCAGGGTGAGGCTGCCCCAAGCTACATCAGAGCCCACAGAGCCCCGGTCCTTACTGACCACAAAGGTCCTGGTGGAAATCACTGTTTCAGGGAGACAAATGAAATATTCTCCCTTTTTTTTTTTCCTTAGCAGGTCTCCACGAATGGCAGGTCTCAGTCTGGAACTGATTTGACTCCAGTCACCAGAGCCGCTGCTACCAGGGATTTTGTAAGAGTCTGCAAGGCCTTTAATCTCTTCCCCTACAAATAGGTATGATGTAAAACCCAAATCCTGACCACCTCGTGGTTACGAGTCCTGCAGCACTTCCTGCAAGAGCCAGGAGCGTGAGCCCCGGGGTCCTGGCCAAATTCCAGCGTGGGAATTTGCCTCTGCCCCTGGGTTCCTGCAGCATCAGCTCCGCACTGCTCGCTGCCAGGGCCGGGCTGTATCCTCACAGCAGCCCCTGTGCTGTGGTGCTATGCCCCGAGAACAATGCATTTTTTATTTTGTTTTGTTTTGTTTTTCTCATTTAGTTTGTTTAGCGAGTTCGTTTTGTTTGGTCTGTGGAAACATGCTCCACTGCTCTCCTGCCATCAGCCCTTCGTGGAGCTGCCTCCCTGTGCTCCCAGGGCTGCTTCTCATCGTTCTGATGCCAAATCCCCAGCCAGCTCACACCTGCAAAGGAGAAATCCAGAGCAGGACAGGCAGCCCTGCTGCACCCTGCCGAGGTCTGGCCACCTCCAGCCCAGAAATTGTCCTGGCTAATTCCGACCTGGCACAGGGCCGAGTGTTTACGGGTTGAAACATGAAAAAGTTATTTTTTTTATTTATTATTTTATTTTTTAATTAAAATTTTAATTCAATTCTGCCTGTTGTGTGAGATGGAGCACTGCAAGCACTGCAGCCTGCACCCAGCACCATGGGAAGCTGAGGAGTGTGCAGGGAGATCCTCACTCCGCCACCAGCTTTGGGCTCCTGGCAGGCAGCAGTGCCCTCTAGTGCGGCTGCACCTGCTTGGCTTTGGGCTTTTTTCTTGGATTTTGGAGTTTTGTTGTTGCTGTGGTGGTGGTGGCTTTTTGTTTCTTTTAATAAGAGTCATCATCCCATCTGATTTTAATTTATTTTTTCCCCCTGACCCACTGGAGCTCTGCAAACGCCTCTCCTGGCACCGTGCCCCAGGGAGCTGTGAGCATCCCTGCACCACGCCACGACCTCACAAGCACCCAGCTGTACCCCCCGGGAGGGTCACCTGCCTCGTGTCCCTTCTCTAGCTCAGAACCGTGCCTGGGGATGACAGGGATGTGGCAAGCAATGGATTCATGGTCCCTGTGCTCTCCTGCCTGGGGTGACAGGGAGGTCTCCACGAGGAATTTCGGTGCAGATGTTTAATAACAGCGGGACACGTGAAGTCTTGTTCGCCTTCACGGCTATCGGTGCTGCTCAGCCACGCACACGGTTGTTTTCCTTGGCTCTGACAGAGAAACGCGCTCCTCGAGGACTTTTCATTAAGCAAAAATTTATGAGAGAGGATGAAAATCATGTTTTACTGTCTGAGGGCTCAGTCAGTGCTGTTTCTTCAGACGTTTTAGTAATTCGTCTTGGCAAGGACCTAGAAAATGTCTCCAGTGGAACAGAAATTTCCCTTGGACGCTTGGAGTCGCTCGCATCGGCCGGTCCCGTCCCCAGCGTGGACCGCTGCCCGGATTAACGACCTGCCCCCCCGGGAGCCGAAACAAAAGCGAAACACCTCGCAATTTATGTCCAGTGAAAAATAACGTGCACATGATGTAAAGCGTTATTGGGATTTGATGCTAATTTTAGTGGTCACCTTGGCTGAGTTTGAGGAAGTTGCCGGCGCTGCCAAGAGCAAATTTACCTGATGATGAATGAGGAATCAGAGCATAAAATAAATAAATATCAGCAACACCTTTTTTTTTCCCTGCTTTTTTGGCAGGTTGGTGTCATCCAAGGTCACACATTTGTGCATTAGGAGAACTACTGCCAGAGCTTAGCGCTTTAAAGTCATTTCTGAGTGAAGAGCAGCATCTTTAAGGGCTGAGCCTTAAAAAAAAGCGTCCAAAATATTCTCCCAAAAAATTCTTGCCATTGGCTAGGTTTGCACATAAGGTGTTAATCTTCTTCCCTCCTTGTGTTCCTTCTTAGGCTTGGAAGCAGCTTGCTATGAATTTCTGCAAAAATTCCTTGTTTTCCTCCTTGAATCCAGGGCTGAAAGCACCCACGGCAGCCCCGACCTGGAGAGGGGCAGGGCAGGGTGTCCTGCAGGGGAGGAGGTCGGGCCATGGGGTGCCCCTTGTTCTCCTCTCCATGGGAAGACCTCTTGAAACTTTGGTTTTGTGTGCTCTAAATGGAGAAAAGGAGGGTTTTCTGTTTGTTTTTCAACAAATCGCAACAAGCAGGAAAATCTTTTGTTTCCATCAGCGCTTTTCTCAGACAGAGCCCGTGTCCCAGCCAGCTCCTGGCACGAACTCAGGGCTGGAGCCAGGCTCCGGCAAAGCAAACAGCACATCCCAGGGCTGCCTGAAGCACCCCGAGGAATTTCAGCTCCCCGCTGAGGTGCCCTGCCACTGTCGGAGGACAGACCCAAGACCTGGGGGAAGTACAGCCATCCCAACCTTTTTTTGTGATTTCTTTTATTACTTTGTCCTCCCACAGCAAACCAGGAGGGAGGTCAGGAAGAACAAGCGTTTTCAGGCTCCCGGCACTGCGACGACAGAAAGCAGACCTCTGAGCGCTTGCCCCTCTGCGAGCTTCCAAAAACCAGTGCAAGCCCTGGGCAAGTCACAGCTACAGAAGGGCTTGCAAGCAAAACCAACACGAGCCTTCCTGCATGACCCCTGCTCCTGGGGTTCAGAGGGCAGCAAGTGTCACTGCCCTGGCTCCCAAGCTGTTGCTAATTACTGAAAGCATCTCTAATAAACCAGGAAGCTCCCCTTTAGAAACCACGAGCCTTATTTGCGTGTAGTACCAAGCATTCTGTGGTTTCGGAGATGGCCTTTCAAGATTTGCTTTTTTTTAATTTTGCTTTGTTTGTTTTTATTATTTTATTTATTTTTTTCTTCCCAAAGAGGATGCGGGAAGGGGATGTGTAAGGCTGCCGAAATAATGCAGCCCATGCAGGGAGGGGACGTTTGCGTTGTGTTAAGCAGGTTCCTCGGTGGAGACGAGGCACGGCTGAATTTATAGCAACCCTCAGAAGAGAATGATAAATGGAAGCTGTAATTTTTATTGGGGAGGGGGACAGATCATGGGTGAGGGAACAAAATAATAAAAAAAGCATAAATTAGAAGCGCGGCTTGACGGCTGGGAGCCGAAAGTGTTTGGCTCGTATATAATGTGCGTTTCTCGTGGAACATGATCCAGCCCAGCGCATGGAAATTACCTGCAAAAAGACTTTCTATTAAGTCATATTACTGTGAACTCTCTCTACAAGGGCTCCGAGGACGGGTGCCCCGAGAGGCGCTGCTGCTCCTTGCTTCCTGCTGCTCCTGACCCACATCCTACAACAACCGCCCGCCCTCAGCTGGCCCATGCGGTGCTGCTCCGTTTTGGCACATCCATATATTTAATATAGACAGGATGAAAGTCAGAGAGCAGGGCCAGCACACCTTTTAAGCCCAATACAAGCCCAGTGGGACACCCTGTAGCTCTCCTTAGGAGAGGTTTGGATGGTCTGCGGGCAGCTGCTTGTTCTTGCACCCATCCAGCATAGATGGGTGCTGGTCCCCATCCTATTCCAAGTGCCCAGGGGTATGGGGCAATGCTCTGCCTCTTGGAGCCACTGTTTTTTAACCAGGAAAAAATGCAATGTGCTACGAAGCAGCGCTGTGGATGGCTCCAGGACCCTCCATCACCAGCAGAGTGCAGGAACATCACTGCCAGGACATGCAAATATCACTGCTGGGACACAGGAACGTCACTGCCAGGATGAGCAGCTCAGAGGACATCGTGTGTGCCCCTGCCCATCCCAATGCCAGCAGGAGTTTGGCTGCTCACAGACCCTTCAGATCTGGGTGCCTCTGGGATGTGCACGACCTGCAGCAAAGTCATCTGCAAAGCCTTGCCTCGGAGAGAAGTGTTAAACCAGGAGAGCTCCTCCATGCAGGGAGGGTGGCAGGGAGCAGCCTGGAGGAAGGCAGGAACCAGAGGCTTTGGTGGACCCACAGGAGAAACAGCAGAGTTGAACGGAGTGACTCTGGGTCTGTCTGATCAAATAACCGGAGTGGGAAGGGGCCGAGCATCTTTCCATGACACATTTCCACCCTCCACACGTTCTCAAGGAGCGGCAGCCTCACAGCACCCCAGACTTCCCAAGTCTCGTCCTGACAGCCAAGTTTGCCTCTAAACCTGACCGGTTTCTTTGGGTTTGAGTCCATCTACCGATCCCTTTTTGATGCCAGAAGTGCTTCCCTGAGCCAAATTTCCCTGGTAATTGTCCTTTGGATTAGTTTGGAAAATTGCATAAGCCCTGGGTTAGAGCTGGCTGCGTCTCTCATCCGAGTGCCTAAGGCTTCATGGGGCAAAGACTAAAGAGCTGTGAAATGCAGAGATATAACAGATGTTGACATGTAGTGAAAATACTAGACGCAGGAGCCTAAGATAATAAATCTGAAAAATTAACACGTAGGAGAACGAAAAAAGGAGCAATATGTTTTGGTAATCATTCTGAACTGCTGAACCCTTCTCCTGCAGTTCAAAAATCTCTGGTATTAAGCAGATGTCATTCAACCAATGATTAACACATTACCGAATTTCTCCAGTCGTTTAATAAAAGTTTTACATAACATGCAGGTAATTGCTTCCAAATGTCAAGGTAACAATGTGGGCTTCTATGGATGGCATTGTTTCCAGCGTCAGGTGAAAACCCCTCTCGGTGCCGTGCTATCAGGCGAGGTCCCGCTGCGAAGACCCCGCGCCTGGCCAGCTGCTTTTCCCGTCACTCCTCCTACAGCAGAAACAAAGAGACAGTCGGGGAAGATTAAAAACCTTCGATCTGGTCATGTTTTCTTCCCTTTGAATGTCTGTGCAGGCAGCAAACAGGCCTCGTGCTCCAAAAAGGAGGCACAGACACATGTCTTCTCTGTGATTTTATATTTTTTTTATTTTTTTCCTTTTTTTTTTTTTCACTGCTGGATGCAGGTAGGTAGTGGAGAAGAGCAGGGTACATGGGATGTCCTGGCAGCAGGGGTGGGTGATGCTTCCAGGCAGCCCACAAGCTCACAGCCACCCAGCCCATTTCTGTAGGAGCTCTGTCCCCATCCCTGAGCCCACCCTGAGCTCAAAACCCGAATTTACCCACCATGGGAGCAGGGAAATGTTCATCCCAACCAGGTTATTTGCCTGAGAGCTGTCCCCGTGTACAGCCGGGGGTCTCAGCACCACTGCAGGGTCTCGCTTGTTATTTCAGCATCACTCCCAGTGAGGTGTGAGAGTGATGGATGCCCGGGGATGGGGGAGCCTGACAGGCTGCAAACTGTGTGCAGACTCTGCGAATTGCTGGCCGGTGACTTTCCAGGCTGCAAATTAGCTTCCTAAATTATAGCTGGAGAACAGGATACTGCTAAAACAACCGATCTGTCGCGAGATGCATCCTGTGTTTGTCAGAGGCCGGTGTAGCTCTGTTGAGAACAACGAGGGGTGGCTGTCCAAGGTGCACGTAGATGCCACAGCTTTGACGTGATGCTTGTTTTTAGGAAACCTTTAAGTGTTTTGTCCTGGCACGGCAGGTGGCACACACTCCTGCTAACCAGCATCTGCATCGGATCTCGCTGCTGCTGACATAGGCAGGGCTGAGAGAGCAGAATTGTCCCCGATCTTGTGAGCAGAGGAGTCCTGCCCCAGGTGCAGTGCTCTGTGCCAGATCCACAGGGATACAGCCAGGTATGTATATTTGTAGATAGGAACATTTCATCATTGAAGTCATCTGGCTTTTTTTTTTTTTTTATCATTTCCACATCAACTTTTATCTTGAATTAAAAGCCAGCTCTTTTTGGCACTTTTTCAGTGTTTTTATGAAGGCGTAACGACCACCCCTTGCCCACCCCACCCCATGGCCTTCAGCTGATCTAACTCATCCCATCCCACAGCCCCCGACCTCCGGGGAGCGAGGACAGGCCAGGTGGTCCCAGCGATGGGAGCAGGATGGGGAGAAGGGGGCGAAGGCAGGGTAGAGCTGGCGGAAAGGGCTGGTTTGCTGCCCCGACCCTCTGGGGGTGCTGGTATTGCTGACACGGGCACGGGATGGGCACAGTGCAGCTCCTACCTGGCTGCAGAGCGGCCCCGGCCCTTCTGCCAGCCGTCAGGGAGCAGGGTGGGAAGGCCTGGCAGGAGGGCTTTACACTGCTCTGTACTGAAAAGCAATACCTGCTGAGATTAAACCGCTTGGCCTCCTTCCCCCGGTCTCCAAGGCAAACATAGACGGTTCTATTCATACCCACAAGAAATACATATTTCAGCATTTGGTTCTTTTTTGTTGTGCGTGCGCTTTGTTTTATCTAGCGCCACGGAGCTTGGATGTCTCTTTCAACTCATATTGTGCTTTGGATGCGGCCTCTCCTATTCAGCCCTCTTGCTGCCTTCATAAAGCGTAACAGCAGCAGTTGTTTTTCCCCTGGAGCAGGGGCTGCTGTAAACCCACGGGAACCTTCTTGCTGAAAGGGGACAGAGCATCCAGGATGCTGCCATGGCCATTTCCACAGCTGCCCTGTAGCCTGGGCAGTTTGGCTTTCCCAAATCTGCGTGGAAAGCAACAAATTGTCCTGTAAAAATTATTTTCTTGATTTCTGTTTTTCTAAGGAGACAGGCCCAGCTTGTAAACTTGGAACTGACATTTCCTCCTCCTCAAACGGGCAGCCGAGTCCATGACAGAAGCCGTGGCACTGACATCTCACAGGGGTCTTCAGATTCTGCCCCTCTCCCTCCCTAAATACACACTTGAAGCCTCCTTTCCTGGCTGTGGGAAGTCCATCCGGGGGGCTTACCTAAGCCCCCATCTTGTGCAACCCCTCAGCAGCTGTCAGAAAGCAGAAAACCACGCAAGGACATTTCTACTGATCGTTCAACTGAGAAGGGACAAGAGCTGTGGGCCCAAGTGCCAGCACTGAGTCCTTCCCCCATCGTCCTGCTGCTGTGGTGGTTTCCAGTGACCATGAGTGATGCTGGGAGCAAGAACACCTTGTGGCAATGTGTTGCCCTTGAACCTTGGGCTGGGAATTACGGGTTTTAAGGCATTTGAAATCCGTGTCTGAAATCTGTGACTCGTCTCATGCCCTAACCTTAGAGAAGGGACATTTTGGGGTGGGGTGGCCAAATGAATGAACAAGAGCAGCTGTGTGGGACCTGCACCGCTGCCTGGGGACAGCACCTGGGGTCCATGCCCAAAAATGCCCATCCCGGCTCCAGCTCCCACCAGCTATCAGTGGGGTCAGTTGATGCCGATGCACCCATCGTCTGAGACAGCTGAAGGTCTGGTTCTTCATGCCCAGGTGAGCAGCCAAACCTCTTCTTTTTTAAAATACACCCATTTTTATTTGTCTGGGGCTGCACGTTGCATGAAAGTGCGCCCAAGGCTGCTCTGATTCTTGCCTCCTGCTTGCAGAGGGGCAGCTGAGGGATGGCCGGCAACATCCCCACTAACGGGCTGCCAGTCCTGCCCTCCAGGCAGCCAGGGAGGAGGCAGAGGAGGCTCCAGCCCCACACGTCTCAGCTGTGCAGAGCACCGAAGACAAATGAACTGCAGGAAGCATTTTCTCTGCCGAAGGCTCGCGCTCGGGAGGTTTCTGTTCACAGCGTAGGTCAAGAGTTGAAAACCGAAGAAGAAAGGAAAACAGATAGGAAGATCCATCTTCCCTTGTAAAATCCCCAGAGCGGGGGGCACTGGGAAGTAATTTTTCACTGAGCTCAGAGCTGTTTCTGGCCCTTCAGCAGACGTTATTCTCTGCTCAGACCTCATGTTTTGGGACATCCTCATGGGTGTGGGAAGAGCTGGCTCGGGGGTGAACACGGTGCCGGGAGCAGCTCAGGTCAGGCAAGGCAGGTCAGGTCCAGCCCCAAAATGGGCCTTATAAAATGTTCCTTGTAGTGCCTTGGGATGAGGGAGGAATTTTCCCTGCAGGAGGATTGTCCTGGGCTTGCCGGGTGAAATACACTTTGCACCTTCCTCTTTGCACGACGCTGCTTTGGGATTTGGGGCAATGGGGCCACAGCTCCACACACGCTGGCAGCTCAGTTCCTCAGCATGCAAACATTTTACAACAGCTAGGGCTGAGAGGCAAGGAGAAATGAGGGGCTTGGATTTGCCAGCATTAATGCACAGGTTAAGAGGGACAGCTTTTAACAGGGAACAACCTCTGCAACAAGAGGAAGGAGAATTTCAGTACGGTTGAAGCACATCTAAATAAAATTCCTTTCTGGAAGGAATTCAAGAAAATTATTTTCCTTCTGTGTTTCTGTCTCTCTTCTTCTGGCTTATAAAAACACCTTGGCTTGGATATTACATCAACTCTGCCTTTTATTAAAAACCCCTGCTCCAGTTGTGCAGATATCATGCTGTTACATGAAAGTAAAATTTTATGACCAGAAGCTGAAATTAGGAAGGAAACTTTTTTTTGTTGTTGTCATGGGCTGGATGCTGTGAGTAGTCACGGGGGCCTGTTTATTTTTGTTGTTCCTGAAAGGCAGCCAGCCCTGGGGCTCGGCACTCGGGGCTTTTTGGGGTGTTTGCTCCAAGCAGGTGCTGGCAGGGGGCAGCTGCGCCCTGGGCCGTGCGAGGGGCTGGGTGCTGGCCTCCATCACGGCTCTTGTCACCTTCAAGCAAGCAGGGTTTTGTGTTTTTTTGCCATTTTTCACCTTAAAGGTGGTACTTCTGGTTGTCCATGAATTCCTCCCTCCCCTGCTAAAAAAGTGATGTGTATATAAGGGCCAAAATAATGTTTTGAAGGTGAGGCCACCATCCCGGTGGTGGCTCAGAGCTGGGGACCTTTGCGGCACAGCTTCAGCCTCAGCACCCCGGGGATGAGAGGACACCTCGGGGGACTTCAGGCCTCGAGGACAATCCCTGCACGCAGCCAGCTGGGAACGGGGCTGGGCTGTCCGGAGACACCGTGGCGGGGATGGGGGCTGCAGGTCAGGCCCAGCGGCCCCTCTGTTTCCTTCCAGCCCCAACGTCTGCGCAGCCGACTGCTGCCCTGGGAAGATTTACGGAGCAGCAGTAAGTATTTCACCAGCTCTTTATTAATAACGCGGCAATAAAAAAGGTGCAGCCTTTCTTCCCAAGGACTCGCAGAGCCCCTAATAATCCAAGGAGGGATTTGGCTCCCCCCGGTAGATGGCTCACCGGTGGGCATGCTTTACGGCCCCTTTGTTGGAGAGGGGCTGTCCCCCAGCATCAAAGTGCGAACTGAGGCTCGGTGATGGGCTACCCCATAAATCTCTCCTCCCTAATCCTTTCCTTTCTACCATTTGCAAACTGGGGGAGGTGGGGGTGGACTGGACGAGGCAGGCCGGTTTTAACCCTTTGTGCTTTGGGGGAATCTCCTCGTCCTGAGCAGAGGAACGGGGTGTGTGAGAGGAGGACTGGTGCGTAGCCACCTCGTAGCAGCAGGTAGTTGTGTTCTGCAATTAAACCCCAAATGACAGCTTAAAGAGCTCCTTTGGAAGTTTAATAAGCCCACCACTGTATATAAGAAATAAATCTGGCTGCATTACAATCATTTCCAACTACTTAAGCAATAAATGCAGAGCTC